CTGCTCAGGACATTACATCACTCAGGAGGTTACAACGCAAAGGCTCAGGATGTTACAACGCAGCCAATCCCCCAGGAGGTTGCAGCACAGGACTCAGCATATCACTACAATAGAGCTCAGGATGTCATCACACAGCCCATTACCCAGGTCATTACAACACAAAAGAACAATAGGCACACAGCCAGTACCTCAGCCACACAGGATGTTATGAAACAGCCGACTAATCTGTTTCGTCAACTCCATCAACTAATCAAGATGTTATCACACAGCCAACCAATCCGCTTACAGCAACAAAGCCAGCACTCCACACCCACCCACCAATATTTATAGAAAGACGGCAGCTCCGATCACGCTTTGCTCATACAAGCACGAAGCCAAAAGCACCAGCCTGAAGATGGTGAGTGGGACCTTGTCGAAACATCGCCAAGATACTCTTAATCTTACATGGGAAAAGACCCGAATATGCCAAGACCTGCATACCTGTACCCATGAAAATCTATGAAAACACACACACACACACACACACACACACACACACACTCAAATTGCCCACAAATTGCTTTAAAAGTAATGCTTATTACTTTTCTTTCTGTATAAATAAACTATATATATAAACTATATAAATAATAAGCAGAGCAACAAACACCTCTGGAAATTACATTATAATCAAAAGAATTCCATAATAATTGACTGCATTTTTTGAAATTTGTCCTTTTTCTTGCTCCTTTAACAACAGTTGATCTAGATTCATAGTAATAAATCTGCCAAGATTAGTCCAAAACATGATGCTAATAGGATAAGACCAAAACAAATGAGTTAACGTTCCTATTCCTGAGTTAGACATCCAGTAATAGTACAGAATAACTAACATTTACTAAGCATTTTTTGAGATATCCATTATATTTCAACAGTGATACTATTATATTCATGTCCTGTTAAGATCCTGGATATCCATTATATTTCAACAGTGATACTATTATATTCATGTCCTGTTAAGATCCTGGAATCATATTTATGTGGTACAATGCAATCCTTCATGCTTTATCAGAACAGGATATGTTACTTCAAAGGTCATGGAAATAATATAAATATCCTTGATTTCCTTTGACTGTTTCTGGTTTAGGAATTACAGAATCTCCAACTATTTCAAAAAGGCAATTTTTGAAATTTATTCCATAGTTTGCATGTCAATTGAAAGTAATGTGATTATTCAATATTATTCAAGATGGACAGTGATTAATATTTGTATGTATTTATATGTAAGAGTATAAGTATATACATATGTATATATGTAGCATGTCTATATGTGTGGTTTGTATGTGTATACTTTTAAAAGCAGGCAACAGAATTTCATTTTTAATGTGTGCCAGTGTGTCTTTAATAAAAATGACAATAAAGGTTATCTTACCATTTATCTCTTAATAAATAAAAGAACATAGTGAATAAGTTCTCTCATAATATACCTTGAGGTTGTATTCATCTTAGTTGCGCTCATGTTATTTCATATTGTTGGAATTCATTGTTGGAATGTATTTTTGTACAACAGCTATAGTAGTATTCAGCCAGTAGATGGCAGTGTTTACAAGTTTGACTCTATGATATATACTCTATGTTCCTTTGTTCTAAATAGAGTTTCCTGTTTCCTGTTACAGTTAAAATAGTTAAGCAGTAAAACACTTGGTGACTGTACACTCTGTTTGAGCTGTGGTGCTATATATTGAAGTAGTATATGAATCAATATTGGCTAGTTGCTTTTATTATGAATTGCTTATGTTTCTATATAATTGTTACTGATTAAACCAATATTTGCTGTTTGTTTCTGATATGTTATAATGCTAGAAATCATTTCTTAAGAATTAAGCTTTGTTATTGGCTTCTGCTTATATTATTGTATACTGTCAGAAATTAATTGTTTTCTAGCCTAGCAAATTGTAACCTTAATACTGGATGGCCTTATTGGAAATGTTATCTCACTGCTGCATCTTGCTTCTATTCTTGGCTTCAAAGCTAGGCACATCATTGAAAACATAGAAGAAATTGTTACACGGGAATATCAGGCTGCATAGATAAAGAAACCAAACTAGGGAATTCTCCTGGCTCATAAATCCTTAAAGCATTCTGCCGAAAAACAACTTGGCAAAGGGGAGCTGCCACCCCCTACACAAGGCTGTGGGAATACTCCATAGATAAGGTAGACAGAGACAGGAGCTTGAACAAAAGAACGCTTTAAAGATTACGTTGGTAACGACTCTTTGTCTCTGATTGGATAAACTTTGTTTCTATCTGCCTAGAATGTATATAATACTCTGAGCCACTCTTGCAGCGTGTGGTTATTCCTTACATGCATTTGTTTGTATGTTTTGGATATAGTTTTGTCACCCAGCTTTTACTATGGCCATAAATACTTTTTGCAAGCCTCGAGTCTTACTCTTTGGCATTTCAGTGGCTCGGGGAAACCGCTGGAACCTTACAATATAAACAGAATTTGTAGCACGTATTCAATATACAAGGGAATTCTAGACCATCTGTCTTGTTTTCTCTGCATCAAAAGGATATTAACAATTGAGAACTTGATCTTAGTGTATTTTGAGGATCACATAATGCTTACATCACTAACAAGAACTTTTAAATATGGATCTCCTTATGTATTATTTCTATGTAAACAAATTACATCACAAAGTTAATTAAATGAAAGAAATACTTCAGTAGTTTACTTACTTTGTTGCTGGGTCATCATAAGAGGCAAGGAGCATAAGGGTGCCTTTGCTGATTCCTTTCATAAAATTTAGCAAATGTTTAATATCTTACGGAGAAAACCAAGAAAAAAAAGTCTGTGAATTACTTGTTGTGAACTTCTGATATATATAGAAAATATAACTAACAAAGGAGATCACAGTCTTTCTTAACGAATAATGTAGTACTCCCCCCAAGAAATAAAGCAACCAAATGCAATAGGTCAGCTTGTGCTTTCCAGATGTTGGCTGCGCTGTTTAGAGGGTTCTGTATACAAGAATAATCCCATAGACTGATCCAACCTGCTTTGCTTTGAGATAGGCATAATAGACTGCCTATGGAAATAGGTATAATAGACTACAATGGAAATAGATACAATAGACTACAATGGAAATAGGTACGATAGACTACAATGGAAATAGGTACAATAGACTACAATGGAAATAGGTACAATAGACTACAATGGAAATAGATACAATAGACTACAATGGAAATAGGTACGATAGACTACAAT